TGTGCTGTTTTTCACTGGTTAAATGTTCAAAGGATCAAACTTTATTGTCAATAGATAGCTCTCGACTTGGTGATTCCGACTATGTACTTTAAAATAATTTAACATGATTGTCTGAAGAGGAAATTAAAATTTTGTTCGTAGATGTCACTTTTTTACATATTCGGCATACAACCTTTATGCCCTTTTTTCGTCTTGAAGGAGTGGACATCAAAATAGATATTTATACACCATTCGATAGAGAATTGGAAGGGCTATTTTTTGCAGTATTTATATTTGGTAAATAAGAGAATCGACTTTTTCGCCTAATGTCCGCTTGGATGCCCACTGTGTATAAGCAATGGGATGGGAAAAATGATGATATTTTTTTTTGTCTCACATCAACATAATAATACTAGAAACAAATTTACGAATCCAGTTCAGAGAGAAAAGTGTGAAAGAAGAAATATAATAATTCTAGAAAAAAACCTTTATTAAACGTAGTAAACATTCTTATTGTTAGAGAAGTGTGCAATTTACTTATTGACTTTTCATGAGATAATCTATTATCAGAACGAAAGGTTCAACGTGTTCGAAAAAAAGTAATAAATTAGGTGGAACTAAATAAATTTTGTTCTACGAACAGAGAAGTTGAAATCTTGAAAACTTGAACTTGCTACGCGCGCAACCTTTCTGTAATTTTTCTCTCAACACAGTTTAAAATATATAACATATATGTAGTTAAAACAAATAGAGTTTAAAGTAGCAAAATCATTATCTTTCTTTCGTTGGAACTAGTTTTCTAATTCGTATAAACACATTCCTTTTACTATTCAAGTTTGAAAATTAAAAAAATACGTTGAAACAGATAACAAATTTGCTTTTTTACTAGATTAGAACCCGTTATTTTAAAAATTTCCTTTTGAACGCGCTTGAACTGTTGTTCGCTTGATAAAATTATCTTCTGAATCATCTAAGTTTCGAAGAAGAATATATGTGTGTGTGTGAAATTTTACTTACGACCAAGTATACCATCATTGAAAGAATCATTGAAACTTGAATTTGGATGAACTTTTGAATGATCTAAATACGAGTATCTATTTATAAATCTCAAAAACGATGTTAGCATTCTGTCTAACATTGATTATATTGAAAATTATTTTCTTCCTAGTTCAATTGTTTAACATACCCGAAAGTTTAGATTCGATCCCTAAAAATGACATAAACAATATTTTCGTTAAATGTTTGTTCCTACAACAAAAACTGTCATACATTTTTTAGCTGTCATCTTCACTCCTCCACCAGATATAGCTACACCATGAGCTATTGGTTCATTTATATTTTTTGCAGTATCACTACGCATCTCATCTGTGCCCTAAAAGAAACAGCGGAATATTATAAATGCAGAGAAGAATAGTTCTATATAATTATCTCTGAAAAATGTCGACTTGCTTCTACAGGAAAAGCAGACACATGCAAATCTACTTTCTTCTTCTAATGGAAAAGCTCACCAGTGAAAATAATGATAATCCCAATGCCATCCTGTTATTCTACGTTGTATATGATAGAACTGGAGTGTTTACTGTGTCTGATGACTACAGTAGTTTTAAAAAAATTAAAAAAATCCAAATGTTATTAACGTTTATGGTAAAAACATCGAACTAAGCGCATAATTTTCAAGGGGTATTCCGATAGACCACAAACTATTATTCAAACTCAGTTAGTGTCTTGTGAGTACTAGTTAACAGATAAACGTTCATTTTCATCTTTTTTACCGTTTCTTGTTTTTCTCCTGCCTTTTCCGCCATTTTTGTTGTAATCATTCTTGATGCTTCAACAGTTTCTTTGCCTGATGCTTGCTTTTCCGCTTCAAGTTGATCTGGCATTTTTAATTCTGTTTCATTATCTGGACCCAAATCAACTAATCTGGAAGAGAAAGTAAGAAAAATCATACATTTATATTTATAAAACTGAACAGATTCAAGTAAAGAGTGAATCATAAAGAACGGCGGTCTTTGCTATTCAAGTTTTCAACCTTAGGCTTCCTCGAGTTCACTTTTTTTTACAAACGATTCGTCATTTCATTCTCTACAAAAAAACACAATTCTTTATGGTCCACCTGTTATAAACTGTGATTAGTTTCTCTTTCTGTTATTTACCTCATGAACTCATCGTCCCAACGCCCAAAACAGAGATCGATACCTCCAATGAATGCAATTTTTTGATCGATAATAACCATTTTTTCATGATGTGACCACAAAAATACACCGCCAGCTGGATAATGATTAGGATGTCTAATAACCTATGCAGAAGATGAGAGAAACAAAAAGTATTGAAATAGTGTTAAATTCCTTTTTGCATACTTTTATATTCTTTTTATTTTTGGAAATAAGCGCTCGTTTTGTATGTAAACTATTCAAACCCATTGTATATGAAAATTCTTTAAATATTAAAACATAAACTCTTACACCTTCGTCAGCTTTTTTTCCAAGTAAATTATCTAATCGAAACGTCTCATCGTCTGTCGGTCGTATTAACATTAGTTCTGGAGATAACCACCAATCTGTAATAAATATTTCTTCTTTAGCACACAATATTGCTTTTGCTATGGACTCCATATAACTTTTGCCATTGATAAACCAATGTGCTAATTGTTTTTCTCTAAACGGTGCAAATGAACTAAATTGATTAGTTGTTGGATTAAGGAAATTCGCTGCATTTTCTTTTAATTTTTCTAATTGTTCTATCCATTCATCACGATCACGTGAATTTTTACATTTGACAACTAGTGTTCGTTGTAAATTTGTTATTTTTATTCCCTTAGCTGTACCAGCATGACGAAATCCCGATTGAATGTCGAATGCACGATCAACTAACATTGGAAAACGTATTTCATATGTATCTGGTCTCATATATGTTATAAACGTATCTTTAATAATAAACCAATTTTGTCCATGATGAAATTTACATTTATCACAAAAAAATGGTAAACGAAAAAATATATTATGACCACGATAATCATCATGTGATCGTTTCGATAAATAACTTTCTTTTAAACTAATACTCAATCCACGAACAAATGAGACACAACTCACTTCAAAAAATTCAAGCTAAATAAAGAGATAAAGTATGGATAAACAAAAGAATGTAATAATAGGCGAAAGTATCAACGCACCATGTCAGGATGATTACGAAATTTTGGATGTAGTAAAACTTTATTCAAATATTCCATTAAAATTTGCTAAAAAGAAAACAAATTAGCGAAATGATCGAATACATCATTAGAGAGAAAATAAGAGTAAAAAGATTATTTATCAACAAATCTTTTATCTGTTTGTTAGAGTTTTGGAATAAAACTCAGGACTGATTGTTATGATATCATCGTTGTTCGCAATATGTGTCGATTTACGCGACAGACTTACACATCGTTCTCTTATAGTATTATCATCAATAAATGCTGCGCGATCGCTTCGCGTGGGAAAACACGGCCTTTCTGTACCTTCTTCTTGTGTTCTATAAAAAAGAAAGATTTAATGACTTCACAAACACTGACAGAAAAGAGGGAAATCACAAACTGATAGTGAAAATAAAAAAATGTGTAGTACATTACAAAAGTAAAAATGGATAAATGATTATGGAGAGAGCTTAATCTTGACTGATAAAAAAGTATACGCACGCGTGGTCAAAAATACACTAACAAATAGAGTTCAGACGATATTAAACACAAAAGCTCACAGAATTTTTTAACCATAAAGAAATGAAAGATCAAAATTACAAGAAAAACGATCGTTTTGAAAATGAGAAAGACGGTCAAATTCTCGTCTTTAGTTTTACTGGAGGTCGTATCACGAAAAAAGTTAAGTTGGGACTTAAGTCTAAGTTTAAAACTGACTTAAGTCCGGGGACTTAAATAGTATCACGAAAAGACTTAAGTTGACGATTTGTTTACTTTTTAAAAGTCGTTGACAACAGTGACAAACTTCGGATATAAACCCGCAAAATAACGAAATATTTATTCTCTAATCCTTAGAATGCCGTTT